TTAGGGACTCAACAATAACAAAACTAATGGGGCCTAATTAAACTTAAAAGCTTTTGCACAGCAAAGGAAACCATAAACTAAATTAAAAAATAGTCTGTGGACTGGGAGAAAATATTTGTGAACAGTGCATTCAACAAGGGGTTAATTTCCAAAATGTATAAACATACAACTCAATAACAAAAAAAAAAAAAACAAAAACAAGCAATCCAATAAAAAAAATAGGCAGAAGACCTAAATAGATATCTTTCCAAAGAAGACATACAGATGGCCAATAGGCAAGTGGAAAGATGTTCAATATTGCTTATTATGAAAGAAGTACAAATCAAAACTACGGTGAGCCACCACTTCACACTGGTCAGAATGGCTATCATCAAAAAGTCTACAAATAATATATGCTGAAGAGGTTGTGGAATAAAGGGAACTCTTCCACACTGTTGGTGGGAATGTAAATTGGTGCAGCCACTATGGAAACAATATGGAGTTTCCTTAAAAAACTAAAAATAAAGTTGCCATATGATCCAGCGATCCCACTCCTGAGCATATATTTGAAGAAAACTCTAATTTGAAAAGTACGTGCACTCCAGTGTTCATAGCAGCACTATTTACAGTAGCCAAGACGTGGAAGCAACCTAAATGTTCACCTACAGATATATCGATAAGGAAAATGTGATATATACACACAAAGGAATATTATTGAGCCATAAGAAAGAATGATATAATGCCAATTACAGCAACATGGATGGACCAAAAGATTATCATACTATGTGAAGTAAGTCAGACAGAGAAAGACAAATATTATATGACATCAGTTCTATGTGGAATCTAATGAATGATACAAATAAACTTCTTTACAAAACAGAAACAAATTCACAGATACAGAAAGCAGACTTATGGTTACCAAAGGGAAAAGGGGGTGAAGAGGATGCAGGAGGAATGAATTAGGAGTCTAGGATTAGCAGATACAAACTATGATGCATAAAAGAGGTAAACAACAAGGTCTCACTATATAGCATAGGGAACTGTATTCAATATCTTCTAATAAACTATAATAGAAAACAATCTGAAAAAGATTATATATAGATAGATAATTGAATCACTTTGCTGTATACCAGCAACTAACACAACTTTGTAAATCAATCATACTTCAATTTTAAAAACAAAAGAGCGAATTTCCTGGTGGTACAGGAGTGACTGAGCGACTGAACTGAACTGAACAGTGGTTAGGAATCGGCATTTTCACTGTTTTGGCACTGGTTCAATCCCTGGCCAGGAAACTAAGATTCTACAAGTCACACAACAGGGCAAAAGAAAAGAAAAGAATATTTAAAACTTAAAAAAAGAGAAAAACAGTTTCCAAGGAATAACGCTAGACACCTTCCATTCCCATCCTCACCATGTATTCTCATTCTCATCTACCACTTTTTTCATTGTCTACTGGTATTGACATGTTCTCAATATTTTTTTTCTGTTTTCTACTGGTTAATGCATAAAAACACACATTATTTCCTGTATATGTGGGATTGCATGCTTCTTTCTACAGGCTCCCCTGGTGGCTCAGTGGTAAAGCACATGCCTTCCAATGCAGAAGACGTAGGTTTGGTCCCTGGGTCCGGAAGATAACCCTGGAGAAAGTAATGGCAAACCATTCCAGTATTTTAGCTTGGAAGGTCCCATGGACAGAGGAGCCTGGTGGGCTACAGTCCATGGGGTTGCAAAAGGGTCAGACGTGACTTAGTGACTAAAGAGCAGCACACTTCTTTCTTCATCTACTTCCTCTTTTTTGTAAGGCATATCCTCTAATACCTTTTGACACAAAGCTCATTGGAGACAAAACTTTTGAAGATTTGCACTTCTGAAATATCTTTATTTTCATGTTTAAATGATAGTTGATTGCATATAGAGTTATATTTGTATTTAGCTTCAGATAAAGAAAGCTGAGTGCCAAAGAATTGACATTTTTGAACTGTGGTGTTGGAGAAGACTCTCGAGAGACCCTTGGACTGCAAGGAGAGCAAACCAGTCCATCCTAAAGGAGATCAGTCCTGAAAATTCACTGGAAGGACTGATGCTGAAGCTGAAACTCCATGTGAAGAACTGACTCGTTGGAAAAGACCCTGATGCTGGGAAAGATCGAAGACGGGAGAAGGGGATGACAGAGGATGAGATGATTGGATGGCATCACTGACTCGATGGACGTGAGTTTGAGCAACCTCTGGGAACTGGTGATGGGCTGGGAGGCCTGGCGTGCTATAGTCCATGGGGTCACAAAAAGTTGGACACAACTGAGCGACTGAACTGATAGCTGCAGGTCAGAGCCTTTGAATTTTTAGTTTTACTTCTCTATCTTCTAGTCTTGTGTTGATTCCATTTTTTATGTTTATTGTTAATTGGAGGGTAACTGTTTTATATGTTGTGTTAATTTCTGCTATACAACAGCATGAATAAGCTATCAGTATACATCTATCCCTTCCCTCTTGAGTTAATTCCATTTTTATTCTCCATCTTCGGGTATGACTTATGTTTCTTTCTGAAAACAGCATCTTTCTTTAGAGTAAGTTAAAGTCACAGAAAGTCACAAAATGTGTTTGGTTGCGGGGAGTGAGTGGGTTATTCAATTTCATATTATTCATTTATAGGAAATTTTCTCACAGTATTTCTTTGGAGATTTCCTTCTCATCGTAATCACTCCCATTCTGAAATTCTACTAGTTGGGTTTCTTGGATTGACACTCAGGGACTGAGTTGTGGAAGTCCTTGTGTAACGTCCATGGTGGGTCTCGATCCTCCCAGTAATGATTCCAGTCTGGGTTTCTCAGAGTGTTGCAAGAATTCCATGAATCCCTGTGTCCATGAAGCATCGTGTGTAGACTGAATATGTAATGTGTTTCACAAAATAGGGACTAAATTAAGCACATGTATTTCCTGATGTGATTAAAATACACTTATTATAAAAACACTGTTATTCATTGATAATGGTAGATAATTATTATCTTCTATTTCTCAATTAAGAGATTGTATAAATATTACCGCATGTAATTTGAGAGTGTTGTCAGATGAATAATAAGTTCTGTTACTTGAAGCATTTGGAAACATGTGCCCCTTAGTATCTTAGATTTACAGAAGTGGTCTCGGATTCACATCCCAATTTTAGAAGGCTCACTGGTGTCAGTGAAGAGGATGTATCACAGGAGGGGTATCACAGAGCCCAGGAGACTATTTAAGAGACTTTGTTCCAAGCCGGGAAGGATGAGGGCTGGACTGTGATGATGGCTGTGGGGCTGGAAAGGAGGGCCTGCTCAGAAGCCCTTACAGTGAGTGGAGGGGGCAGAACTTGGTGACTCTGTAGATGTCAGAGGCGAGATAAGCTGTAGTAAGCTGACAAAGCTCTTCAAGGATATCCACATCTTAACCCCTAAAATTTGTAATATTATTCTTCCATGGTTAAAAAAAAAAAAAGACTTCACAGATGTGATAAAGATGTGAGATGGGGACATTTAACCTGAATTCTCAGGGGTCCTCTAAGTACAATCCCACATGTTTTATATGAAGGAGGTAGAGGGAGATTTGACAATGTGATCCCACAGGGCAGAGATGGGAGTGATGTGGGCTCAAAACAAAGAATGCCATCAGTCATCAAAGCTGGAAGCAGCCATAACAGATTTCTACCTAGATCTTCCAGAGGGAGCACGGCCCTCCTGACACAATTTCAGCAGAGTGTAACAAATTTTGGGGTTCTGCCCTCTGAACTTTGAGAAAATAATCTGAATGAAGTCACCATGTGTAGGACTGTGTGTTATAGCAGCCACTGGAAACTGGTCCAGAAGCCAATGGGATCTGCCACTTTTCACTAGATGGTGGGTCAGGTAGCCGGGATCGGGTAAGGGCATCTAGAAGAGGAATAGTTTACAGGCAGTTGGTGATTTCAATTTTATACTTTCCTTCAACTATAACAGTGGAGTGCTTGAAGGGTGTTGTCCAGGTGGCAGCTGGATGCTTGCTTCTGGAGCTCTTGGGAGAATTGGAGAGAGGAAGCATTAACCCAAGATGTTGGTGAGGGTAGAGATGCTGATGATCAATGTGATTGTGCAGAGTGAGAAGGAGTTAACCGATGGTTGAGCCCTGAGTATTCACTGAAAATTGAGAAGAAAATGGAGAACAAATTGCACTGGACAATTTATAGGTTTGAAACCACAGTGAAGGTAAAAGGACCAAGCAGTTTGGTTATGGTTAATATGAGGACAAAGTATGAATGATGCTGCTGGTTGGAGGTCACATGACTGGCCAGATATGCTGTGCATACTGCATGTGTGCTCAGCTGCTTCAGTCGTGTCTGACTCTTTGCGACCCCATGGACTGTAGCCCTCCAGGCTCCTCTGTCCATGGAATCACCAGGCAAGAATACTGGAGTGGGTTGCCGTGCCCTTCTCCAGGGGAGCTTCCTGACCCAGGGGTCAAAGCCGCATCTCCTGCATTGCAGGTGGATTCTTTACCCATGCGCCACTGGGGAAGCCCCAGATATGATGTGGGTATCCCTCAAATCAAGACCAGTAACAGGAATGTTTAACTGCTTTTCTCTGGTGGTTCAGTGGTAAAGAAGCTGCCTGCCAATGAAGGAGACGCAGGTTTGATCCCTGGGTTGGGAAGATCCTCTGGAGAAGGAAATGGTAATGCATTCCAGTATTCTTGCCTGCAAAGTCCCATGGGCAGAGAAGCCTGGCGGGCTACAGTCCATGAGGTCGCAGAAGAGTCAGACATGACTGAGAGACTAAACAGCAACATCCCTTGACCATGGCACCACGAGTGGAAAACCTGTAGAGACAAGCAGGCTGATGCATAGCCAAATATTTCTTCTTGAGAGCTCTGCACCTCAGGTTTCTGTACCTAACTGGATATTGGGCCTCTAAAATTTACTGGTGATGACACCCAATGGTCACTTCATAATGAAAACCACCCCTACTCAAAGCCAGAAACAGTTGAATAATAACAGGACAAGTAGAGAAGTGCAGGGCAAATCATTTATTGAGCAAGATGTTGAAACCTCTACATTTTCCATAGAAGATCAGGTGATCACACGGAAGAAGGATCTAGGAAAGCTTCACGCTGGTATTACAAACCACCAGTATTTTTTTCTGAAACAGAAAAAGAAAGAAAGAAAGGAGAGATCATTCTTGCTGCTGGAGATGAAACATTAACACAGACTCATTCACAACTACATGGTCGATGAAATTTCAACCAGTCAAAGGCAAATGGGAGGGCCCAAGGCAGGAAGCCAGAGTGTATGGTCAATGACACAGATCTGGTACAATCACAACAAACCACGCAAGTCAGGAAAAAATCCTTTCCATAGACAAGCAGATAAACCATGAGGTGGTCATCAGGGGCAGGACTTGGGTTTCCAAAGGAAGGAGAAGGATGAAGTTTGGAGGGGCAGTCCAGGCATTCTTTTCTCTGATCTCCCAGGAACCCTACATGTTCAGTCCAAAGGGACACAGGGTTACAGGATCGGGGAGGGAGTGAGAGGACAGGAGGACAATCTCCTGCTGCTCTCAGCCTTATGATGTGGCTGTGACAGCACACGTCCTCCTCTTCAGGACAGTCTGGACCACCTGGCACCCAGGGAAGTGACCCCAGAAGGAGGAACATGCCCAGGGCCCCATGCAACCTTCCCTAGGGGAGCTTGGCAGGTGGGATGTCAACATCCAGCCTGCGGGCAAGGGTTAGAAGTGAGCAGCGACAGCTGCCCCCTTCGGAGCAGCCCGCTGACCCCGCCCCTGGCATGTGCAGCTAAGCAGAAACCTCTGTGCAGCAAGAAGAAAGACATTACCAGTATCTCTGAAATGAGTAATTTGTTTTCGAGTGAGAATTTATTCACGCATTGCTTCACTTCTATCTTGGCAGCCACGGCTTCTGGAGATCCTCTGTACTTCGCAAGTGACAGCTTGTACACTGAGTCAGGAGCATGTAAGAAATTGATCAGATCCACAGCAAGTGCTGGACAGACAACTGCATTGGCTGGAGCAGAAGGAAAAGAGATAACAGTTGATGTAGGGAAAGTCATTTTCCCCCGTGGTTCCCTGAATTAGAACTAGACAGGAACCCCAAGGGTTTTACAATCTCATCTGGTAATTGTGCCAATGACAGTGCAGGACCCTAGGGCTGTGACTTCCTCAAGACCCCAGAGTAAGTGGCTGAGCCAGAACTAGAAATCAGTTTCCCTGTGTTCAGTTTTTTCCCTTTTAAAGTACACCTACTACTTTCCAGAGCTCCCTCGATTTGCTGAAATTCACTTTCCTTAGATTAAAAAAAAAAATCAAGTTTTGCCTATCAGTTGAGTGACACCATATTTTTTCTTGGCTACTGGGGAAGAGGAGATTTTAGGAACTGAGTTTTCAAGTGAATGGTAAAATCAGATCTTACCAGAGATCACAGAAGGGAGGAAGAATAAACCTGCAGAAGAGTATGTAAACTATATGCTATTTTGAGACTAAATTAAAGCATAGGTTTCAATCATTGGATGCAGGTATGGCTAAAAAAATAAATATCCAATCAGCTTGAACACATTGGAAGCTTATACACAAAGTGATGATTGACTCTTGTATTCTGTAGTGGTGTACAGAATTCCTAGAGAAGATGAGAGGCGGGAATGGGTGCTTATTCCTGACCCCATCAGAAGGGTGCTGAGGTTGGAAGTAACCACCTTTTCCTGGTCTGGATTGTCCATCCCCACCAAGTCTTGACAACCACTTGGCAGCCTGGGATGTATTTTGTCAAGGCTCTGATCTGCCCCCTGGTCAGAAATCAAACTTTGCAGGGAATTTGAAAGGGCAGCACAGGGAAAGAGAAGGATATTTAGAAAGTTCGATAAAAGAGAAACATTCAAAGAAACTTGAATCAGTATTGAGGGCATGAAGCAGAGCAAAAGTATGGATGAACAAATGGCTGGAATTAATTGTAGAAAAATGAAGTCTGTGATGCTAATGATCACACTAGTTCTACCACCATTAGTGGAAAGACTCCTAGGGAATGAGTGGCATTTGTAGATATACTGAGTGCTGCTTATTCGCAGACCCCATTTGAAGATCTTATATCCAGAGATTCAGAGAACACTGACTCTTCTTGAAGTAAAAATCTCTCCCCAAAACCCTTCCAGCTGTAACATTTTTCTGAGTCTGAGTCTATTAGTTAAAAAGGCTGTCAACTCAGCTGTCACCTAAGAAATTCTAGGAACAAGAACAGTGGTAACTACTAAATATTTAGACTCTTGACGCACTTAATTCCACTTTATTGTCATAAACTACTCCTGGTGGACCCTGAAAAAAGGAATGATAAGAGGATTATCTGGAGAGACTAAGCATTTTGTTCAAGGTCAAGGCGCTGTGATTCACATCCAAATCTTGTCATGCTGTTTCTGAAACACAGATCACAGACTAGGAATGAGACTTTGGGTAGAAAGCTTTTAAAATTTGCCTGCAATGAATTTTTGGTAAGAGTTCTAGAATATATTGGAAACTGGTCAAATGGGACCTGGGCTTGCGGGGGACTCACTGTCAAGTAGAGGAAGAGGTATGCATTCTGGATATGTTGCTCCCCCACTCCCTAGATAAGTTCACCCCGTGAAAATACCAAGGGAAAAGTTCTCACCAAGGCTGGTGCTGGGCAGATTAGAAAGGATACTCACCCTCGTAGTAGCAAAGGGCCAGAGTAACCAGCAGGGCAGTCACGGACAGCCTCATGGTTTATTTTGCTTTGAGTTTTCAGCCTCAGTGAACGACAGCAGTCAGAAGCTGGACTCAAGAGCCTGGGGAGCCCAGGCCTATTTGTACCTGGAGAGCTCTGTTGGCCCTGCCCACATGGATATACGGCAGGTGGCAGAGTCTGGCTTCCAGCCCTTCCTTCTTCACTCAGGGCTTAATGCCATCCACGGTGTCACAATGGCTTGGCCAAAGTCCCATTCACAGGTACCATACACCTCTCCTTTGTAGTAAAAAACCAAGGTTGTAGTTTCACAAATGTCTAGTCAGTTAATGGATGCAAGGCCTCCCTGGGTATCAGTGCTTGGCATGGAGAAGTGGATAAGCACATCTTCCTTGAATAAATGAATGAATATGGATGAACACGCCTTGAGCTCAGTTGGGCTACATCTTTAGTGTCAGATTATGCCTGCTGTGCCGGGTTTTTCTTTGGGCAGCTGAGGGAGAAAGGTTAGCCGCCTGGTGACAACTGTGAAAGAAATTGGTGACTTTCAGTACCCTAAGAGAAAAAAGTGTGAAGACCAAGAACCTACCCCCAACTACTAATTTTTTTCTACTCTGCTTCAAAAGGTATCACAGAAGATTTCATGTCAAATCAAGCTCTAATTTGATGAAAAGGATCTCCTCTTGACTTTTCCTTGTCAAATAGGAGAGTCGCACCTTCTGAGTCACAGGGTCCCAGCAGTGGAGAAGCCCACAAAGACTTATCCTCTCCCTAGTCATGAGCAGAGGCCTTGTGGAAACAGGGAGAGACTTAGACAATTCTCAGTAAAGGCATTGGGAAGTCAGGCTGCTTGTGTAAGGGGACATATTTGAGTGCCACTCAAGAATATATAGAATTTGGGGACTAGAGAGAAGCCCATATGCTGCAGTGAAGACCCAGGACAGCCAAAAAATATATATTTTAAAAAGAATATATAGAGTTTTGACATGAAGGAATGCTTGCAGGGGGGATTGCAGGGCACAGCATAAGAGAGGACAAGATAGCATAAACTGCGTGACTTACTGGGGGGACATCAGTTACCCAGGTTACCCCGAAACTTACACATGGTGGAATAGGGAAGGTTTTTGACTGGAGAGACAGGACTAACCAAGTCAGGAGTGTTTCTATTGCCTTCTGTGACAATGGTGGCAGAATGGATGGGTGAGATGTAATACATGTAGTTTTTTTTTTTTTGCCCCACTGTTTTCATGCTGGGTTTCAGATCTCAGGTTAAAGTCTCATGGGTTTTTCCTACCCATGATGATGGATACTATAAAAAAAAAAAAAAGTAGGGAGGCAAAGAAGGAAGGCAGGAAGAAAGGGAGGGAGGAAGGAAGGAAAATAAAACATAGTATCAGAAAAGATGTGGAGAAATAGGAACACAGTTGCATTTTTGGTGGGAATGTAAAATGGTGCAATCACTAAAGAAAATAATGTGGCAGTCCCTCAAAAATTAAAAAGAATTATGATCAATCAATTCACCTCTGAGTATATATGCAAATGAATTGAAAGCAGGGAGCACATACTTGCTTCCCCGTGTTTACAGCAGCATTATTTGCTATTGCCAAGAAGTAGATTCAACCCAACAGCTGAATGTTGAATTAATTATCTATAACTGTTGAATGAACCATCACAATATAGTAGATCCATAGAATGGAATATTACTCGTATTCAGCCTTATGAAGTAGGGAAACTGTGTCACATGCTACCTAGGGATGAAACTTGAGGACAGATAGCACACTAAGTGGAATAAGGCAGCCACAAAAGGCAAGTACTATATGACTCCATTTATATAAGGTATCTATAATAGTTAAATTTATGAAAAACAGAGAGCAGAATGGTGGTTGCCGGGGCTGGGGGAGGAAGAACATATTGTCCAATAAAAATTGAGTCCTCACATGGAAGCAACCTAGATGCCCATCAGCAGACGAATGGATGAGGAAGCTGTGGTACATATACACCATGGAATATTACTCAGCCATTAAAAAGAATTCATTTGAATCAGTTCTAATGAGATGGATGAAACTGGAGCCCATTATACAGAGCAAAGTAAGCCAGAAAGATAAAGACCATTACAGTATACTAACACATATATATGGAATTTAGAAAGATGGTAACGATAACCCTATATGCAAAACAGAAAAAGAGGCACAGATGTATAGAACAGACTTGTGGACTCTGGGAGAAGGCAAGGGTGGGATGTTTCAAGAGAACAGCATCGAAACATGTATATTATCTAGGGTGAAACAGATCACCAGCCCAGGTTGGGTGCATGAGACAAGTGCTCGGGCCTGGTGCACTGGGAAGACCCAGAGGGATCGGGTGGAGAGGTAGGTGGGAGGGGGGACCGGGATGGGGAATACATGTAAATCCATGCCTAATTCATTTCAATGTATGACAAAAACCACTGCAATGATGTAAAGTAATTAGCCTCCAACTAATAAAAATAAATGGAAAAAAAAAATTGAGTCCTCAGGGCTTCTCTGGTGGCTCAGTAGTAAAGAACTCACCTGCCAATGCAGGAGACATGGGTTCAGTCCCTGATTTGGGAAGATCCCACATGCCGTTGAGCAACTACTGAGCCTTTGCTCTAGAGCTCAGGAGCCACAACTACCAAGCCCCTGTGTTATAGCTACGGAAGCCCGTGCTCTCTAGATCCATTCTCTGCAACAAGAGAAGCCACTGCAGTGAGAATCCCACCAGCTGCACCTAGAGAGTAGTTCCCACTTGCTGCAACTAGAAAAAAGCCCATGCAACAATAAAGACCTAGCACAGCCAAGAATAAATAAAACTATTTTTAAAAACAAAAAATTTGAATCATAAAAATCACAATGAGCTGATTATAACCAGAAGCATACCATTGCTGTCTTCCATAGAGTTTCTTTGGGTGGCAAAACCTGTGGCTAAAAGTATTAGTGGTCATAAAAAGAGCGGCAATGTGTTTTGGTTAGACAAAGTGCAAATATAATTTATCATGTTTGATCATTGTTGCAAATCTGTAAGCTATTACACTTCCCATTCTTACAGATGAATCACATAACTTGGAGACAGTAAGAAACTTGCTTAGACTCAGTTTGGAAGCCAAGAGGTCTAGTTCAGGCATTGTTGGTGTGTGGATGGTAAAGTAACAGAGTGCTACTTTCAGTAGGGGAGTCTGGTGATGGTGATCTGTCAGAAAATGTATCGAAATATACGTAAATGAAAATTTGCAAAACTTTCAGGATAAGATCATGAAACTTTACTAACAGATATAAAAAAGTATGTTTAAAAAAAACCAAGAACTTCAGAGGATCACATTTTATGTCTGAAGGAAATATTAGAACATTTGAAGAAATCAACTATTCTCAAATAATTCTACAAATTCAATCCAGCCCACTGCAGAATCCTAACTGGTCTAAAACTAACAGTTTTACACTGTTTTGAATTCTGAAGTGCTGTTTGGATCTTTTGAAATTAGAATATATTCATTTACTGAATAGCGGGAGGAGCTCAACTTTCATGCCCAGCTCTGGCACTTTCTACTTGTAGAGACACCAGTAAGGTACTCACCCTCATAGCCTCAATTTTCCCATCTGTAAAATAGGTGTGACATAATACTGCCTACCTCATAAGATTTGCCTTAGGATACATGCATTAATCCAGGGAAAATGGGTAGCACAGTGTCTGGCAGTAAATATCAGGCATCAAACTTATATAACAAAAGGAAAAACTATAAATATTAAGTCAAACAAAATAAATCACCACGTTCCCTAAGTCCAATATCAAGGTGAGCCTACTTGACTCTGCCAGTGAGGAATATTTATTTATCCGAAATGCTAACAAAGTGTGCTTCTGAATTTGGCTCTGGTTCCACTGAGATTTTTCTCAGTTAAGGTGAGATCACTTGATTTATTATTTTATGGTCATGTCCAAGTGACAGTTATTATGGTTTAAATATCCTTAATACTAACTCTTGGAACTAAAGGTATAGGAAGGTGGTATGTGGGGATAGATATTATGTATTCCAAGACACACAGAGACTTTAGGCTCATGTAGCCAGCAGGATGTTCTTCTCAATTTTGGCTCATGTCCCTGTCCTTTTGGCTGAGGTTGAAATCCCAGGGATCTTCTAAGGATTAAGTCTGTAGGCAGATTAATACCCACACAGGTGATGGGAACATTAGGACTTCACTTCTGGATCAGGACACTCACAGACACATTTATACTAGTGAATTGTATGGTTAGAATCTGTACAGTTCATCTATCAGATCTTACACAGAACTGACCCTGCAACAATCTCTAGACTCCAAAAAAATAATTTAGAGTATTATTAATATTTTGTATTGATAATAAATTAATATAGTATATAAAATATGGTATAATTTAGAGCAATACTAATATTATTTTAGAGTAATATTAATATTTAAATTAAAATTTTGTCCATAGAAAGTGATTTCTGATTACTTGCTTCGAATAAAATCAAAGAAGGACCTAATTTAGTCATGGTTGATAAATCATTAAGAATAATCCTGAGTAAAAAAAAAAAGAATAATCCTGAGTGACGATTCATTATGTTGTTTTTAGTCAATTCCCCAGAGGAATTCAAAGAATCAAGTATGATGTCATTACCATAAACTCATTCCTGTCACATCTGCAAACTCACGTGACAAATATTTTTAGAATTCATATCTGTAAAAATGAGACACATAAATGGAATTGCGCCATTTTAGCAATAAGTTGCATTATCCTTGCATATATAAAGTAAGAAAAGTCTCATTTAGCTTATTGAGATACATTTATCAATTATATTTTACATCATATATTTAAAAAGTATCAACAGGGACTTCCCTGATGGTCCAGTGGCTAAGACTCCACGCTCCCAATGCAGGGGGCCTAGGTTCGATCCCTGGTCAGGGAACTAGATCCCACTTGTTGCAACTAAAGTTCCCACATGCTGCAGCTAGGACCTGGAACAGTCAAATAATTATAGAAATATATATTTTTAAAAGTATCAACAATTGAAATAAATGTCTGGTCTTCACCAAAGCTGTAAATATCTCTGCTGGTCCCCAAATCACCAGCGCACCTTGTCTTACAAACACC